TGTAATTCATTGATATACGTTTTAGGTATGAAACGACTTGTTGAAAAATAATTAGAATCTTGTAAATTCAATTTTACATTTGCGATCTATAATCGTATATATACATCGACATATTTCTCGCGAATGTACGGGTTACAAATTATATATATGGGGAATAGATCGATGGGAAAGGCGCCTAGTGAACACTAATCAAGACATTTTGCGCAAGACATATTACCAACGACGTATATACATATATATATATATATAAATAATAATAAAACGCGCGTGCAAAACGGTTTATTAGAAAATTATTAGAAAATTTATTTTAAAAATTACGTTGAATGCAAAAAGGGCGTTTTCCAATGCAAATTTTGCTCTTGTAACTTACAAATAACGTTTTATGTTTGCAGCATGTTATTAATTTATAAGGAGAAAAAAAAAATTGCGGATTTAAAAAAAAAGAATAGTGTTTTAAAAGAGTAACAAATATTTCAACACGTATATAAAATTCTAAATAAAGTTTAATTGTATTTTTTTAAGCTTCTTTATTTTTTTTTTCTATATACTTCCTTATGAATTAATTCTCAAGTGCGTGAATTTTAAATTGTGAAGGTCATCATTTTATGAATGAATATATATTTAGAAGGTTTAGTTTTTTAGCTGGCAAAAACTGGCTTTCACTCTGCGTTATGTAATATAATGCAAAACAGGTGCCATTTATTCACGCTATATATTGTAACGAATTTGACTTTGGTTGGAACAATGTTTCCGACCTTGACCTGTATACCGGAGACTTCTTGAATTTCAGGAAGTCTAATTTAAACATTTTCTCGTTTATGTTTAAAAAAAAAACTACATTTTAATTTATTTTAGTTTCTTGAATTGTATTCTCCAGAAATAATATTTAGGTATAATAAAAATTCTAAAAAATTAATTTTAGAATCTAATTGAAATATTTTGTTGAATCAGTTTTTTTTTGCAGATTTATGATTTTTAAATGGTTTTTAGCGTCACACAAAGAAGGCAATCAGTAGAAACATGTTCAAGTTTTATGATTTGTGGTCCATTAAAATTTACTCCCTATTAGGAAATGATTAAATTTTTAAAAGAGTGTATAGAAGAGATGTTGTATGAAAAGGTAATTAGTCGCCCTTGATGATGTGGAAAGTAGTTGGTAGTTTTTTCTATGTACTTTAGAAGGAACGTTGAAGACGTTGATTAATGTTGCCTCGTCCCACGACTTGGGTCACTTCGTCGCCATTCGTCTTGGTCCTCATCTCCATTATAATGTCACGCACGCGGGGTAATCTCAACTCTATTCAAAAGCACTTTCGACAAAAAGCTTCGTTTATCTCTCCCTCTCTTTTCTTTTGCAAGTGTCTTTTAATTTTTTTTTTTTATTTCAAATTTTTTAATAACTCTAAAAAATTTGAATTTTCATTATTTTTTGTTTCTATAATTGTTTGTGGGTAAAATTTTGTATAAATAAACTTGTTTTCTGTGTATTGTGTATATACATAAAATACTTCTTTTGTTGCTTAAGAAACCTGTTACAGGTACAAAGTAAAGGTACTTGAAAATACAAGGACCTCGCCATCTATCATTTGCAAAAGAATTACTGTCAAAAAGTCTAAGAGTCATAACTGATGCATAGTTAGCAAACCGCCTACGATACGTCAAGTAGGTTTTTGCCTAATCTTGCAATTTATGGCAGTACTCGTATACATTAACTTTGTGGATTACAAGGTGTTATATGATTATTAAAAATAAATTGATGCCACGTGGCAAAAGTTTTAAATATATGTTCTTTTAATTATTTAAATAATTTTATGATTTTAAAAATAGATCGTGATTTATAAGATATCGCACGTTAGAGAAAAAAATGTTGGGAAAAAATAGAAAATATGAAATAAAAAATAGAATTCTTTTTCTTTGATTTGAAAAAAAAAAAAAAAAAAATGATGCGAGCAGGTTAATGACCGATCGCCTATACTCATGGAAAAACAACATTAAATGATTGCTAATTAATAGATATATTATGAAGTGTAAAAAATTTAAGAAATAGTTATAAGGAAGTTAACAGAGTTGGCAGCAAACCAGTTATTTGAAACGTTTCCGTATAAGCATAAATTATGTTAGTCTTCTCTTTCAGCACAATTACCCAGTTTAAACACTGGTAATTATTACGCAAATAACTTTACAACCAGCAATCAGTTGTCCTTTCGGTGAGCGCTTATACACTTTAAAAGATCAATGTACTTAACAAAGATAGATAAGTTAGCATTTCTAATATTTGCTTTTTCTCAGGATATTTTTTTTCCTACATACATATATATATATATATATATATATATATATAGGATTCAAAACATTTTTTAGCATCCATTTCTGTTCATTTATCAATGATGATGCTATAAATTCTAATGCAAGTTTTGATGAATAAAATTTCAAAGTCAATTTGAAGATGTTTCATCTTGAGTGACATTTCATTAATCTGTTGACTCGTCTGTTGATTTAAAATGTCAAGCATCCCAAATTGATTATAGGATAGTATGCGAAACACTTTCGACAGCATGTTAGATATTGACCTTTTAGAGTTAATTTTTCCAAGTGTATTTTTTCATTACTCTTTTTAGAGTTCTTTAATATATACTAAAAGTTGTTCTTTAATCTTTATTAATAGAATTTCTTCAATTTCAATGAATCTATTCATGGAAACATTCAAAGATTTTCAAGATTCAATACTTTTCATTCGTATCTGATATTTTAGAAAATTAATTTTCATCAACAATTTGTTTATATATTTCTTTTAGAATTTATTTTCTTCACTATTTTTCTGGAAAAAAAATTTCAATTATAAAATGATTTTTTGTTTCTCACGACTAGATTTTCTGTTCTTCTTCTTCTTCAATTTCCGCCTGTCGGTCAAAATAGAGGAGTAATAAAGCAACCAGGAACTTAATATCTATTACGTATTAAATCCGGGGTATTGATAAGCGAAAAGGTTAACTTGAATAAATAAGTAAGACGATTAAGAGTGTCATTTGTATATGTATTGTTGAAGCTACACTATACTGGTAGACATCTCTTCCGCGTGTGGAGAAGAAACTTGTAGGCATGTTTTTACACCTTCTGTATATATATATATATATATATACGATTCATAAAATGTTACTTTTATTCGTTATTCTGTAGTAACAAATAAAAAAAGTTTTTAATTTTTACGAAAGGAGTTTTGCATTTATAAAATTTATTGCAGCAGATAATTCAGTTAGAAGTAATAATAGAGCACCTAAATGTCTTCCAAGGTTATGCTAACCCTATTTGTAGAATACAATTTTTCATTAGAAAAGACAGAATTATTTACTAAAATCAGAAAAAAGAAAATATTTTATTAATTTTCAATTCTTTTGAAACCAGTTTGAAAAATAATGATCATTTAGATCATCCCTATTCTATACAGGTTTCAAACTAGTGAGATAATCTGTTTGTGCTGAAATCGATCCTTATCTTATTCTACGAGGTAATTTATGTAAATTACATATATATATCGATAAAAATTCGAGACAAAAATTTCCGGCGTTTAGAAATATTTTTTTTAGCCCCCCCCCTCCCCCTAATTTCCTTTAATCTTCTCTCTTGTATATGTCAATGCCGACAAAATGATAAAAAGATATTATGGAGTAAAAAAATATATATAAAGCAGGTTTGAAATAGTTTTTATAAAACTTATGTAACTTGATGTTTTTCAAGTGAGAAATTGAATAAAAAAAAATAAATTTATCAGTCTTGACCCAGTCTAATGGATATATTTATCTCTTAATTTAGGGATAGGGAATAAGGCGCGCACGCTGATGAAAGCAGGTGTAGTAGGGGGAGGGGGAGGGGTATCGGGGTTAATAACTTTTTAATTAGCCAGGCACGTTTCGCACGCGGCACGATCACACGAATGAAGCAGGCATCTAACAGGTAATTAAAATAACCGATTGCACATTCGCCATGGCGCATATAAAGAGATATCTCGCGCGATAGTGCTGAGACATCCTGTGGTTGAGAGAGGCAAAAACAGAGGAATGTCGTGCACACATACCTTATTTGCTTCTATCGTAAGCCACTTCTAAAATACTCTTGTCTGTTTGTCCTGTCCACTAATATAACAACTATTCAATATGTATTTAAATCTTCTCAAAAATCGGATGCTGTGATAATTTTAGTATTTTTAATACGAGCATCGATCGATAAAAAATTTAGATAGGCACGACAAAATTTACTGTCGGGTAGTTTTTTTTTATTTCCTTTTGTAGGAATTGATTTTTTATAAAAAATTTCGGATGTCGTAACGCATAATTAATTTTATAATAAAAAAAAGATTCGGAACTAAAACAAATAATAATATTCAATACGATTTGATAATTTTAAGTAGAATACTAAAAAGAAAATTAAGATTTTTTGAAATGTCTGACCAAAGCAGCATGCTACTACTGATATTCTTCTTTCTATTATATAAATTCAGGAATTTTTTTTTCTTTCCTCTTTGTAAATATTATTTTCTTAATAGAACTGTTTTATTTAAAACACTTGAGAATTCTTCTATATATATGCCTACAGTAAAAAAAAATTATTCAAATAATCTTATTAAATTATTATAATTGTTATTTTGTATTATAATATACAGGGCTGATGTTTGGGATAATTTTTTCTAAATTTTTTACGTATTTTTTGAACACCCTGTATATTTATAATACAATTAAAAATTTTTATTTCCAAGTATTTTAATTGTGTCGAAGCAATTTTGTAATTAACTTTATACCTGCGACCCAAGCCGTATGTTTACATTTGAAGTACACAGGGTACCTTCTAGCCGAAGGTCGTCATAACAATTCAAATTCTCAAATAATTAAATCAGTTGCAATTCGTGTCTTAACCTGTTTGGTCATTTAAATTGTGTAATTTCTAAATCAAAAAAAATTTTTTTTTTCAATACATTTTCTTTATCGTTTTTTATTTTTTATTTTCAGGTAAAAAGCTTCGGGATTGTTCGAATTTTTTGAAACAATTTTAAACTTTAATTTTTGTCATTTTATTAAATTTTTTTTTTCGGGAGTGTTCGAAATTCTTAAAATCGCGATCGTTAAAATAAAAAAAAAATATTTTGTTTATCTTTTTAATTTAATTTTTGTCATTTTATTAAATTTCTTTTTCGTTTCCGGGAGTGTTCGAAATTCTTAAAACCGCGATCGCTTAAATATTAAAAAAAGTATTTTTTTTATCTTAGTAATTTAAAATTCGGGAGTGCGCGAAATTTTTTAAATCGTGTGTATCTTCTCAACCGAAATATCTTCAAATCTTTTCATCATTCATCGGTTGCAGACAAAGGTTAAGAGACATATTTTTTATAAACATTCAATTGTTTTTCTACTAAACTTATAATAATTAAATATTTAAGTTAATAATTAAATTAATAATAAAATTTTTACTAATTTTAATTAGTAAACGATTTTTTTTCTAATTCCGCGAGAGTAAAATTAATTATTTAACTTAGGGAAATTTATATAAAGATAAGGACAATTTTCTTTATAGTTATACTGAGAGAAATTTATTTGATTTAAATCTATTACTTGACTATTGTCAAATAAATATTTATTTGTATTAAATAATTATTATTTGAATCAATTAAATAGTTCTTCAAATACTAAAAATTATTTCTTCAAATATAATTTACTTAATTCAAATTAAAATTATTTGGTTCAAATTAATAATATATGTATTTAGTATAATGAAATGTATTTTACATTATTTAAAACCTCTTTTGAAAAATTCGCATCATTTCCAAATATAGATTTCCAGAAATTAATTACTTCAAATTAATGCAATCACATGAAGCCCGCGATTAATTATGAAACTTCACTCCCAACATCTTTAGCATCCTCAGTTTCCACCTGTTCTCTGAATATTCATGAAGTTCGAAAAACATTTTTTTTCTTTCTCTCCCTCATAAAAAAGGAGAGCATGAATTTATTTTTATTGAAATGCTTCTTTACGAGGATGAATATAAATATATTTTTAAAGAAAATGAATTCCAAATTAAAAAATTGTTCTCATATTCGACAATGTAATAATTTTATTTATTTATTTAAAAAAAAAAATTCTTAGATGAATGTCGCGTCTATTGTTATCGAACATCGCGGGTCCTCATCACGCCTTCTATATAGGGTTTCTCGAGCTCACTTCGAAGTATCGTGATTCCTTCGCCATCGATATCGAGCAAAGTTATGCAACTATGTAAATCTCGATTATCCCGCTCGAGGAATCGTTACTCATTAAGGAAAAGCCAAGATAGAATCACTTGCAATAAATTTGAAACCGTATGTGTGTGCACCAAAGATGATGTTTAGTTCTTTTTCCCATAGGGTCTAGTTCTTCATGCATTCCATCTGAACTATGGAATTTAATTCTAAATGTAGCTACTCTTAATTACAAATTAATTATAAACGAAACGAAACGAAGTTTAAAAAATTAAAGACAATTCTTTGGAGGTTGAAAACCAAAATCTAAATGTTTCACGGGTAAAAAATATAAGGTAACTTTTACTATACTTACAAAGTAATACCTAAACTGCCCGAAACTTTTGCTTTGGAAATAGAAAAAATTACTCCTCTAATAGTATTTTTTTTTACTATTTCTAGAGAAAAAGTTACCAGAAATTTTCGGGTAGTTTAGGGTTTACTTTGCAAGTAGTAAAATTATTTTCTTTTTGGAAATTTAAGAAAATTAAGTTTCATTTTTTAACGCACAGTTTTTAGGATCGCTCTTTACGAATCTTAGGTCTATTTTTCAAAATTCAAAATGGCGGATCCAATATGTCGGTCAACAATTTAAAAGTCGTTTAGATTTGTTTAAATTTTTGATTCTCGGTGGTTTTCAAGGTCGCTGATTGAGAATATGAGGTTAGTTTTCCAAAATTCAAAATGACGGATCCAATATGGCAGCCGAAAAAATTAAAAGTCGTTTAAATTTGCTTGAAATTTGATTCACGAGGGTTTTTGGGATCGCTGATAACGAATTTGATATCAGTTTTTTTAAAATTCAAAATATTGTACCCAATATGGTGCTAAAATTTATTTTAAAAAAAAACATAAATTTTTGTTATTGGAATTTTTGTAGGTAGGACATAGGTCTATAGACATGAAAAGTTAAGGACATGTGATTGTCAGATCACGTGATTCCGTGAATTGTTTATAAAGAAATTTTTTTTTTTTCCTTTTTTTTTCTTATAAAGGGCTGTTGTGTGAGGGGATATCACAGCAAAGTATGTAAGTACATATTCGCATATATATTCACATTATGCATCGACCCACGCGGTCGCGCGACCGCCCCTTTTAACGTCGCGGTTTTCGCGTGATTTATTAAAGCATTGGTTATATTTAACATCGTGTTCTTCATTGAAGACATGCCTTTAGGGTTGTAACCGAACGAGAAGTGTAATGCGCGTAAGGACAGAGTCTTCCGCCAAAAAAAGACAACCCGCTTGTAAATATTATCTTGGCTAACAGTACATAAGGCTACTATTTTTTCTGAATGGAAGTTAAAAAAAAAAATCATACATATCGTAAAATTACAATCGTAGTATATTTCTAAAATATTGCAAAATTAAAATCAAAAATGTTTTTAGAAAGAAAAAAGATTTTTGAAAATTTTTATGTTTATCAATGTCAGATTACATTCTTTTTAGATTATCACTAAACGAAAATAAAATTATGTACAAATGAACGATTATTATAATATATATGATAAAAAAAAAAAAAATATATGAAGAAAGTCGTGCCAAGTATGATTAATGATTTCGTGAGAATGCAGAACGTATGGGATTCGTATTTAATATATATTTTTCTTCTTTTTTGTCGGTTCTTCTCTCTTCCTGGCGACACACTTCCGTAGATCCTCTTTTACATCTCCTTAAATACTCCGCCTACGTCATCGCCTTATACTCGAGTCGTATAATTGTTACCTTTCGGCTTTTATCATCGCTTTCGTTATTTATTTCTTGCCGCCTTCTGTGTACAACACGCGCCAAAATAACCAGCCACATTTCTCTTCCATCACCATTATCTTTACCCGCGCAATGTGATTTATCGATAAATGATCCTTGACAGTTATCACCTTACAAATGAAATTTAATATTTCTTTTGGCGACGAATTTTTAATTACACACACATATATATATATACATATGCGTTTTTACATTTCGACAATTTCAAATATGTGTTTCAATCAACTTATAATTTACGTGTGAAAGTTGTAAATGTGAAATTTTCATTATTATAATATATAATAATTATACAAAATTTTACCGAAAATATATATACAATCTCTCTTTTTTTACATTGATGTATTAAAAATTTTTAACTATGTCAAAAATATACACAGGATGACAGTAATTAATATTTGTGTGTAAAATTATGAATAATATAAAAATGATTATTTATATACTTGGCTTTCTTCGCATTTTCAAATAATAATCATAATAATATGAGAAACACGAATGACTAAATTATAATTTCACCCAATCTCGCTTTTCAGCCCACGCATATATGTACGGAAAGTTGATCATTATTTAGACGGAATCTAATCTCAATTTCACACCATACGGAAAACACGTGTATCTATCTCTAACTTCATGAAAATCTATATACTCTGTCAGAAAGTAATCATAATGGTGTGTTATATGTTATTATTTGTTGCCAATTATAATAAATATCAATGTTAACCGAAGGCATAATCAATGTAATGTCGAAATCATTTTGTAAATAATCATTTGCATTTCATGTGTACATGGCACGATTTTTTTTTTGATATAGAAAATTAATACTGAAATACCAATTTTCGAAATTGTAAATATTATATAAAAAATTATTTGGTTCAAGTAAATATTTATTTGTTAATAGTCAACTAATAGATTATTTGAATAGAAATTTTTTTTCAGTGTTAACGGAGAAAAATGAAAAACAAAAATAAGGGAATTTTTACTATACTTCTAAAGTAAATTCTAAGCTGTCTGTAATTTCTACGCATTTCTGTCAACTTTTGCTTCGAAAGTAGAAAACATTCTGAAATAGTAAAGTTTACTCCTGAAAAAGTATTTTTTACTATTTCCGAAGCAAAAGTTGCCAGAAAATTCGGACAGTTTAGGTTTTATTTTGTAAGTATAGTAAAGGTTACTTTATATATTTTTTCCGTATTCTACATTTTACAAAATTATACCGCGCGTTAAATAACTTTCCAAATAAATAATACAAGAACAAAAACAAATATTTTTTTTTCTAATCATTTAATATTAGTTCTTTATTTTGTTGGTATTATTTTGTAAAAATTTTTTTCCTCTTAACCCTTTGAAGCACGAATTTTTGACATGGATGAATTTCAATTACTTAAACACATATAAGGGTTTTTGGGGTCGCTGATCACGAATCTGCTGTCAGTTTTTCAAAATTCAAAATGGCGGATCCAATATGGCGGACTTTTTTTTAAAAATCGTTCGTATTTGCTTGAAACTCTCTACTCGGGGGTTTTTGGGGTCACTGATTACGAATCCGAGGTCAGTTTTTCAAAATTCAAAATGGCGGATCCAATATGGCGGACTTTTTTTTAAAAAATCGTTCGAATTTGCTTAAAATTCAATACTCGGGGGTTTTTGGGGTCACTGATTACGAATCTGAGGTCAGTTTTTCAAAATTCAAAATGGCGGATCCAATATGGCGGACTTTTTTTTAAAAATCGTTCGTATTTGCTTGAAACTCTCTACTCGGGGGTTTTTGGGGTCACTGATTACGAATCCGAGGTCAGTTTTTCAAAATTCAAAATGGCGGATCCAATATGGCGGACTTTTTTTTAAAAAATCGTTCGAATTTGCTAAAAATTCAATACTCGGGGGTTTTTGGGGTCGCTGATCACGAATCTGCTGTCAGTTTTTCAAAATTCAAAATGGCGGATCCAATATGGCGGACTTTTTTTTAAAAATCGTTCGTATTTGCTTGAAACTCTCTACTCGGGGGTTTTTGGGGTCACTGATTACGAATCCGAGGTCAGTTTTTCAAAATTCAAAATGGCGGATCCAATATGGCGGACTTTTTTTTAAAAAATCGTTCGAATTTGCTTAAAATTCAATACTCGGGGGTTTTTGGGGTCACTGATTACGAATCTGAGGTCAGTTTTTCAAAATTCAAAATGGCGGATCCAATATGGCGGACTTTTTTTTAAAAATCGTTCGTATTTGCTTGAAACTCTCTACTCGGGGGTTTTTGGGGTCACTGATTACGAATCCGAGGTCAGTTTTTCAAAATTCAAAATGGCGGATCCAATATGGCGGACTTTTTTTT